ACACACACACACACACACACACACACACACACACACACACACACACAGTAATTCTCCTAACAAAACTACAGCGAGTTTCTTTTCCTAATGATTTTTAAGCCCAAGCATGCAGAACAACGGTTCAGCATGTGAACGACTTGGATATACATTATTAAAAAGACAGAGGCTGGAGAACATATTTGGATACTTGAAAAGATACTATAAAAACAAACAAAACAACCCACCAACAAAACAAAACAATAAACCTCTCACAAAACCCACACACCCTCCCTAAATGTGTTTTCTGCTGAATCCACAGAAAGACCTGTTACCCAACAACAAAATGTCCTAATGGCAGATAATAGAAATTTATTAACACCACTGTCTCCAACAATACAAAAATTAAATAGTAAGGCATCTTATACTCTCATTCTGGCGTATGCAGCAAAGATAAATATTCTATTTATTTTGGTTTTTCCAGACCGGGTTTCTTTGAGTAGCCTTGGCTGTCCTGGATTCACTTTGTAGACCAGGCTGGCCTCGGACTCACAGAGATCTGCCTGCCTCTGCCTCCCTGAGGGCTGGGATCACAGGCGTGCGCCACCACACCGGGCTAAGAGAAACATTTTAAAATAAGAGCTAGTACTCATTCACATGCTTTCTAAAGTATTTGGCAAATTTGTCGTTTTTGCTTTGTTCCGTGTATTGTTACGCGTGTCTGTCTGGTATTTGTCTGTGTGTTCAGGTGAGTGCACACACTTACGCTTGCCAATTGAGGCCAGAGACGTCTTCCTCTTTGGCTTCCTCCTGAGCCAGGAGCTCAATGAGTCAGCCAGACTGGCAGGCCAGCAAGCACCAGGAACCCCTCTGTCTCTGCCTCCCCCCCGCTTCTTATGTGGGTGCTGGGGAGCTAAGTCGGGTCCTCAGGCTTACACAGCAAATGCTTTACTTTTTAGTAGTCACATAATTGGAAGCTCTCATGATCAAACACCTTCACCCGAACTACGAGAAAAGCATAAACAGACGTCAGTTTATGAAGGAGGAGTGATTCACTGCTGAAAAATAAAGAGGAACTACCAAGAGAATCATATAACGCTCAACACCAGAACTCAGATTTCTCTGAAGCCACTTCTGTTTTGCTATGTAAGCGAAAGGAGAGGATGTCTTCAAGGTGAGATGCGTGTTAGTGTGGGTCACGCCAAGGGATGCCGGAGACTCGTGTGCTCTATTCAACTGCCAGTTTGAAAGCCGCTTTGTTGGCCTTTAGAAATGACTGCATCGCTTGGATCAGACGGTTGAGGTACCACCAACTCACTCCACAGAGCCATGCGCTGTCGATGCTCAACAGCTTCAGAAAGTACTCCAAATGGTTACGCTTTCACCTTTTATTAAGGCAAGTTTGTGAAAATAATTTACTACAACCGAATCTCTTCATTAACTTTCCACTTATATTTTTCAAGACACATACAAAAGACCGATGTCTTGGAAAAAGCCACCAGAAAAAAGGTAGAGAGATGGTTGAACTGGGCGACTTTTCAAAAAGGTTCCTCTTGCTTTGTCTGCAGGCGCTATTCATCATCTTTAGAGCCAGTTTTGCTTAGCTGTTAAAACAGAAAAATGATACCAAGTATTAAGTGAAAGTAATGACGCTACCAGAGTCACTGTTTCTAATCAGAATTAAAACTAAATAAACAATAGGATATACAGTTAACACTGTCTAACTCTACGCCATATTACTTCCAACAGGTTTTGTAAAAACAACCCCAACAGAACAAGGTTAAGTGGGGGAATATCCCTTGCAGCTTTCTAAGAGTAAATGAGACTCAGGCAGTTTGTTAAATTAATGACATTCTTCTATTTTTTTTTTTTTCTATCATCCACAGTGTTTTTTTTTTTTTTTCCCACCCAGGTTTAATTTTTACTGATAATAGTCTACAAATCACGCTATAATGCTACTGCCTAATGCTTTCTCTGTAGCTAGTGCTGTTAAGTGTTTTGATGAACCTTTATTTGTAGTCCCCACACTAGGCACCAAATGCTGTTTTTAAAAAAATTGCAATTGTTCAATTATACCAGTGAAGACAGATGGAGTCAGATGCTGGATTAAATAAAATCCCTCTACACTCATTTAACTCAATATGAACTTTATTTTCTATGGCATTTTATTAGAAGTGTGGGGACTGAGATGCGGAGGTTAATAACTCATCCCAAAGCATCTGGCTGGCAATGGCTTCACAGCCCAAGCAGTCTGCCTCCATTGGCTTTAGTTGTGACTGCTCATACCCCATTCTGTGTATGTGCCAATATAAAGAAACATGGCACTGATAGACAATAAACCGACGATTTTGTAAAAATTACGCATCTATTGTGTGTATGAGTGTGCCCAGTGTGTCTGTGGAGGTGAGAGGACAAATTGTTTGAGTCGGTTCTTTTCTTCTACTCCAGGTCAAAAGAGAAATGGCTTCTGTTCTAAATTTAGACTTTAAATCTGCTAGGTTTTGCTGCTTTTGTGGAAGACCCATCCACGTTCAGTTCCTAGGACCACACCGGGCAGCTCACAACCAACTCTGGCTCTAGGTCCAGGGGCTCTGACACCTTCCTGTGGCCTTCACAAGCACCTTTACGAACCCAGCGCACCTACAGAGAGCCAGGCACACAGGTGCACACTCAGAAGCGGCTGAGGAAATGGTTTCGCTGCTCAAGGGGCTTGCCGATAAGCTGACAACCGAGCTCAGCCTCTCGGGTCTACGTGGAAGGAGAGAAGCAACTCTTTGCAGGCGTCCTCTCACCTCCGCATCCGCGATGCAGCGTTTGTGCACGCACACAAATAAACGTAAAAAACGATTTTGGAGAAGAATATGGGAAACTAGGGAAAGTAGGGGCTGCGAAGGGTAAGCGTTCCCAAACACATGAATACCGTTAAATAATTAAAGGTAGTAAAGCCTTACTGTTTTTAATATAGGTTATAGTTGCTGCACTTATAATTAAAACTAACAATAAACCTATACTGCAACAATCCAACCACTTTGTGAGTGTGTACATATGTGGTGTATGTACGTGTTTGTGTGAGTGCGCGTGCACACAGATGCCAGATGTCAAGTGTCTTTCTTCATTGTTTTTCACAGTAATTTTCGAGACACGGCCTCGCACAAAACTGACAGCTCATTAATTTAGCTACGCTTGCTGGGCAGCAAGTTCTGGGACCGGCCTGTTTCTGACCCTCAAATGCGTGCCACCAAACCCAGCTTGTTCTGTGGACGGACATGTGAAGTGAGGGCCTCATGCTTGCACGCAGGCACTTGCACGGAGCCATCTCTCTAGTCCCTCAGCAACAGCTACATTTTCTACAACAGACTTAGGATGGTGCTGGGTTTGCATCCCTTCAGCTCTCTTTGTGACTTAGTGCAACAGAAGATGGCTGGATGCGCACAAATCTGCTCCCCAGCGAAGCTGACCCTAGGCCAATAGCACAGCAGAGGGATGAGAGCAAAGCTTCCTGCTGTAGGCTTCTCGCTCCAAGAAAAGCACAAGAAACACCAAGGAAACAGAGAACATGAAGGCTTCAGGAATACTTACATGCTGAATCCAAAAAAGCAGGCAGACATCAGGGAAATCCCAAAGGCAGCAGGAAGGAAAGAGGAAAATACATGTTTTATTATTTCAGGGCAATAACTTTTAACAAGTTTGAAGACTTGAATGTAAGTGTGCTATACCTTCACGACGTCAACCCAGTTCCAGCCTCGAGGAAGCTCGCCTTTGTGATCTGGAGGACAAAAGCAGTACCTTCACTAAGACTGATTGGCTAATTATAAACAAACCGATAATAATACTTTTTATTCTATTGCGTACAACGAGTAGATGGAAAGTTTGCATGACACACCATTAAGCTGGAAGAAAATAAGCTTCTCATTATCTTTGTAACCTTAAAGCGCCATCTGGGAGGCACCTGCAGAGTATTGGAGACACACCCCCTTTTACATTACTCCAGGTCCACTCATGACAAAAGCTGTTACTAAGAGGGAACGAGGGGTGAGATCGACATATATAGGAGGCCAATGCTTGCTCATCTGAGGACGTGGCTGCAATGGCTCACTGTTTCAGGACTCTGACCAAGGCCCTCGGCTCTGAACAGGAGACACAGTGTCGGCAAATGTTTGGTTTCAGGACTAAGGGGAGGGCAAGTGAACTTACGTACAGTTAGGTATGCTCTGACAAAACCTTATTTCATGTATTACAGGGGTTCTCAACTTGGGGGGTTATGACCCCAATAGAGGCAGAGTATCAGATATTTACCGTATGATTCATAACAGTAGCAAGATTACAGTTATGAAGTAGCAGTGAGTTAACTTAGTGGGGGGGGGGTCACCACAACATGGGGAGCTGTAATGAAGGGTCACAGCATTGGGAAGGCTGAGGACCGCTGCTCTACTGAGAATGCTTGAGACAAAGCTCACAAGGGCTCACACAACAATGCATGGTTTAACTAGGTTTTCTGCATGGATGTTATGGTTGTGGAATTCCTATGTGAGGGCAGGGGCTGTCTGTGACACATTCGCCTGGCTTTGGGGCTTTTTTCTTTCTATTCGGTTGTCTTGTCTAGCCTTGAGGTGAGAATATGAGTCTGGTCTTATTGTAGTTTACTATACGGTGTTTAGTTCATGTCCCTGGGAGGTCTGTTTTTTCCTGAGAAGATTTGGGGGGATGGATCTAGAAGAAAGAAAAGATTCAGGGGAGATGCTGGGGAGAGGGGGGAGCAGGGGGGAAGCTGCAACCAAGCTTCATGTAGGCTGCATGTCTCATTTTATGAAGCCTTAAAAAAAAACTTTACATTTGAAACAAGTACTATATAGATCTGAGCACAAAACAAAACGAACCAGCAACAAATCAACAAACCAACACCAATAAAAACAAAACAAACCTCCCAAACCTGAAACTTTTTGAGTAGCTAGCTGTAGACTTTGGAGCATTTAGACCTTGAATTGTGGCTGCTCAATCAAGAACTTTGAAAGTATCCCCAGAGCTGGAAGCCTCTGAACTCTGAACACTTGGGGCCTCAAGCATGTGGACAAAGGATATTCACCCTTACCAACTGTCCAGTAAACTAGAGACTGATGACTCTCACAGAGAGAGGCAATTCTACGCGAGCCCAGTTCCTGATGCGAATGGTTCTTTTCTCTTTCAGACCAGTAAGAATCTTATGTCACGGGTCTCAGGAGGGCACAAGGTTGGCCCATCAGTCTGATTGCACAGGCTAATGAACTAAACTTGTATTAGGATGAAAGTTCTCAGTCACAAACTCCTATATTTTCACCCTAGGGAGATTAGACCTTGGTAGGGCATTACCTACCAAAGAGACATGCATGGGAAGATATTGTTTAATGAAGATGACCACAGGCCACTGAGGCTAAAACATTCCAAAGACAACAACCAAAATTCTAGAAAACACACTATGATGGCTATTTTTTTTTTTGTTTATTTTTGTTTACTTCATTTATTTACACTTTACCACTGCCTGACAGGAGGGTGAACAATGTGGAGACTTTTATATGACAAACCGTTACAATTTCAAAGTCTTGTTTGAGGCCCAATCCAGAGTTGGTTTCTTTTTATTCTACCATCAACAGATATTAAACAAGAATAAACCTATGATTCTTCATAAAAGAGCGAGCAGCGGCTGCAGAGAGGCTTCCAGCACCCACATCAGGAAGCTGCCTGCAATTCCAGGTCTAGGGGATCCAGCACCCTTTTTGGGGCTCCATGAGCACACACACACACACACACACACCCTTGTGTAAATGTGTGCGTACACACAACAATGTTCTCCTTTTCCCTAAGTGGGAAAACTTAGACTGGTGACCATTTGCGAATTTCCAAGTGAAAGAAAAGGGGAAAAAAATAATAAAAAAAAAAAAAAAAGAAAAGAAAAGAAAGAAAAGTGAGCAAGTATTCCTGTTGATTTGGGTTGGCATTTATAGTCCTTTTCTTGAGGAGTCTGTTTTCATGCACATGGGAATTCTTTTCTGAAGTCTTATTGTGTAATAAGTCAGTTGTAGGAAAAAAAAATCCACTTGGACTTTAGTTTTGTGCAGGGTCATAAATATGGGTCTATTTGCATTTTTCTACATGTAGACATCCAGTTAGACCTGCACCATTTGTTGAAAGATGCTGTCTTTTTTCTATTGTATGGTTTTGCCTTCTTTGTCAAAAGTCAAGTATCCGTAGGCGTGTGGGTTTATTTCTGGGTCTTCTATTTGGTTCCATTGATCCACTACTCTGTTTCTATGCCAGTACTAGGCAGTTTTTATTACAATTGCTCTGTAATACAGCTTGAGATCAGGGATGGAGATACCTCCACAAGATCTGTTGTTGTACATGATTGTTTTAGCAATTCTGGGTTTTTTGTTTTTCCATATGAAATTGAGAATTGTTCTTTCAAGTTCTGTAAAGAATTTATTCATAATAGCCAGAATCTGGAAACAGCCCAGGTGTCCCTCAACTGAGGAATGGATATAGAAATTGTGGTACATTTACACAATGGAATATTACTCAGCAATTAAAAACAAAGAAAACCTGAAATTTGCAGGCAAATGGTAGAAATTAGAAAAGATCATCTTGAGTGAGGTAACCCAGAAGCAGAAAGACACACATGGTATATACTCACTTATAAGTGGTTATTAGACATATAATATAGGATAAACCTACTGAAATCTGTACACCTAATGAAGCTAAGCAAGAAGGAGGACCCTGGGTAAGGTGATCAATCCTTATTCAGAAAGGGATGGACATCGGAAGAGGAAGAAAACAGGGAACAGGACAGGAGCCTACCACAGAGGGATTCAGACTCTACCCTGCAGAGCATTGAACAGATGCTAAGATTCATAGCCAAACTTTGGGCAGAGTGCAGGGAATCTTATGGGGGGGGGAGAGATTAGAAAGGTCTGGAGGGGACAGGAGCTCTACAAGGAGAGCAACAGAACCAAAAAATCTGGGCAAAGGGGTCTTTTCTGAGACTGATACTCCAACTAAGGACCATGCTTGGAGATTACCTAGAACCCCTGCACAGATGTAGCCCATGGCAGCTCAGTATCCAAGTGGGTTCCCTAGTAAGGGGAACAGGGACTGTCTCTGACATGAACTCATGGGCTGGCTCTTTGATCACCTCCCCCTAAGGGGGGGGGGGAGCAGCCTTACCAGGCCACAGAGGAAGACAGTGTAGCCAGTCCTGATGAGACCTGATAGGCTAGGGTCAGAGGGAAGGGGAGGGGGACCTCCCTCAGTGGACTTGGGGAGGGGCAGGGGAGGAGATGAGAGATAGAGGGTGGGGGGGCTACAGCTGGGATACAAAGTGAATAAACTGTAATTAGTAAAAAGATAAGTAAATTAAAAATATTAAATAACTGTGCTAAGATGAAATAATGCACCAAACTGTAGGTAAAAACCATTTCACACAGCTTTTGAAACTACTCACCTGCCACACTGATAAATAAAATCCCACACATGCAGTGTTTAGGCAGGACACTGCACAAAAGGCTTTGTCCTTTCTACATGTCGACTGAAAGAACATTTTCTAATGTTCTTCAGTGGGAATATTTATATTTACTTTGTGACTCATTACCTTCCCCCAGATGACATTCTCATAATAAAGTCGCAATAAATATCGTATTTTTGTACTGTGACCAACAAGTCTCTGATTCAAATGTGCCAAGAATAAACACTTAGCCAGCAGTGGTGATGCACTCTAATGCCAGCAGGTAGAGGCCGGCAGATTTCAGTGAGTTCAAGGCCAGCCTGGTCTACAGAGTGAGTTCACAGACAGCCAGGGCTGTTGCACAGAAAAACTCTATCATGAACACAAAACAAAGGAAAGAATTAATTTTAAGAATCTAAACGTATCAAGCACCCATACTACAGTAAAATCAGTAAGTCACTTCCTGTGTTAAGAAAGACAAAGAACAGCGCAGACCTGTTTTATCCGCCAGCTTGCGCTTCTGTGCTTTGGAAAGTTGTTCTTTCTTGTCTTTTTTCTTACTTGATGTGGCTGTGCTGGGAGTCTCAACCGAGATGATTTTGGCTATGGGTGTCTACAAGAACAGAAACACATTAAAACTTTAAAACCTACAGGATTAAGCTAGGAATGGTGGTACAGGTCTTTAATCCCAGCAGGCAGAGGCAGGCGGAGCTCTGTGAGTTCTGAGGCCAGCCTCACAAAGTGAGTCCAAGGCTACACAGAGAAACTTTATCTTAGGGACACCTAACTAGGCATTAGACTAAACACTGCTACATCTTGAAGGGAATGGTGGACTTCTAAATTTATAAGACCGAAGATGTCACTGCTGCCACTCACCGATCCAGTCAGTGTCCCCATGCCTCTGGCCTTGCTCTCGAAGAGGTTCATTTTCAAGGACACTACATTAGGGCATCAGTTAAACCAAGATCCGAGAAGGAAGTCCCATTGCCCATGCTATTTGGAAGATCTGAGGTTCCAACTAATTGTCTAAATGACTGAGCTGCGGTGCATCTTGGTAATTTGTTATTATTGGTGCATCTTTAGAAAAATCACACACCCCACCCAGGACTTCTTGGTTCCTTGAAGAAAACTTTTAAAATATTTGGGCTTAGCTAAAATCTAAAATACTTACCACATGACAAGCACTGCTGTGACTCCACACAACATTTATTTGAGGCTTACCACAATCTACTAAAGTAGACCCTATTATAATCCCACTTAACCAATGAGGACCTGAGCACACAGAGATCAAGAAAGCTGGCCAAAGCCACAGGGTTAAAAAAGTAGTGCAGGGGGATTTGAACCTCTACACACCTCAAATGGAACTATGACAAGACTGACTCACTCCTTCCTTCCTTCCTTCCTCCCTCCCTCCCTCCCTCCCTCCCTCCTTCCTTCCTTCTTTTCCCATCTCACTATGAAGCTCTGGTTGGCCTTGAAATCACAGACATGCCTCTGCCTCCCTATGCAGGGATTAAAGACATACACTATCATGACTGGCTTCAATTTTGATGGGTAGAAGTATTTTAACCTTTGCTGAATGAAGGGTAAAAATTGGCAGAACATAATTTCATTTTCTCCATTAAATAGAGGTAATCTAGGATTCATTGTTCTCACTTAACTCACACGCAATTCTCTGTTTAAATCTGATACAAAGTCTTCACTGGGCCTGAGACCCAGGGAAAGTGGCTGAGGTGCCTTTTTAACCAGGCTCTCCCAGCAGTTATTGCTCAGTCCCGACCTGTTACAGGGCGTGACTGGCATGCCCTGCCCTCTACCCTGAACTTTCCAGCCCAGGCAGCCGGCTTCCCCTTTCCCACAGGATCTTCACTATATAATCCAGATATTTTGGTTCCCTTCTCTCTTGCCTTCTACATCTCTTCTCACTGTGCAAGCCCTTTCTTTCCTTGTTTGTCTGTCTTCCCCTGCTTCCAATAACCTGGTTTTAAATCACTTCACTAGCAGAAGAATGCCTATTAGTCTCCCAAGTTTCAAAAGAACAACCAGAAAAAAAAAAAAAAAAAAAAAAATTAACATGCCCAGGCCAAAACCATCCGGCAGCACCGAGCATGCGCTCACCGAAGAATTCCCAGGATGGTGGTTCTCCATGAACTGCTCCTTATTGTCCTTCGCGTACTCGAACAAAGTGTAGGTCATGGCGGTGCCAAGGTTCACTTCCACCGCTTCCTGCAGTTTGGCTAAGATACTCTGCTTCACAGCCGGGGAGCTACGATGCAGGGAAAGGAGTCAAAGAATCAGTCAAAGAATCAGTGAAAGAGAACGAAAAGGCACTGAAAATGAAACGACTCACATCGTGTTGTTAAAAAACGCGTTCATAGATATAACCGGAGGCGTTTGCGGATATGTCTCGGTCCAGGAAATCTCTATCAGGAAGGCTTTAGGATCGCCGTCTTCACCTATCTGAAGAAAAAGGAGTCTTAGGCTTGTGGAAAGTGATCAGAAGGCCTAAATTACTGTCTTTGAAATGACTCTTTCCGACACTTGGTCAAAATCAAAGGCATAACAAGTTGAGAAGGTCAGAGCTACAGGGCAGGACTGACCAAGGATGCGGTGCAGATAAACAGTTCCAACTTTTGCTTTAGTGCCGCTCCGCTCCAGGAAGCTTTAGTTTTGCTGATGGCCCAGTCTTCACTCGGCTGTCAGCTTTTTGTTGTTATTTTTGGAGATAGGGTTTCTCCATGTAGTCTTGGCTCTCCTAGACTTGCCCAGGCTGGCTTCGATCTCACAGAGATCCACCTGCCTTTGCCTTCCTGAGTGCTGGGATTACAGATGGGCACCACAGTGTCCAGCTGAAATGTCTTTAGTTATTTACGGGTTAAAAGAACAAAAAACAAATAAACAAAAACAAAACCTTAGGGTATCTTTTCACAGCCAGAAGATCATCATCACATCCCCAAGAATTTGCCACTGATATAAAAATTTCCTCTAATATATAATTCATATTACAAATTCCCAACTATGCTTAAAGTGTCCTTTAATTAACACCACTCCCACGCCAGAAATCTAGAACTCACCAAAGGTTTACGGTATCTGGTTGTCATATCTTTCTGGTCTGCCTTAACAGAACCCTCTCCCAGGCTTTTTAAAAGTCTTTTATGACATTAAGAGTCCAGGCTGGACCCAGGTGGTGGTGGTGCAGGCCTTTAATCCCAGCACTTGTGAGGCAGATGCAGGCAGATCTCTGAGTTCTAGGCCAGTCTTGTCTACAGAGTGAGTTCTAGGACGCTAATGCTACACAGCGAAACTCTGTCTTGAAACAAAACAAGGCAAGAGTCTAGCCCAATTTTTTTTCCACTAACGTTCTCAAATCTAGAGCACTGCTTCCGGCGCTCAGATTCAGATGGACCATTTTGTGGGGAGAGGTGGCATGGCAGCTCTTGCTGCATCCTGTCAGGAATCACCGCTGGGGATAATACCTTCCGTGCAGAGGTAATGAAGAAGTAATCTGTGCAATAGGAGCACAGAACTACGTCACCACCCCGTTCCCTAGCAACCTTTGCTTAGAGATTTGAGCATCTGTTAATAATGCTTTCCCGAACCAAGCTTTTCACTTCAGAGGCCTGTGAGATGGCTGGGCATGGGGGGTGGGCAAAGGCACTCAATGTAAAGTCTGATGACCCGAGTTTGATCCTGGAACCCACAGAGTGGAAGGGGACAGCCAACTCACACATGCTGGGGCATGCACATGGCCCTCCTCTAACACACACACACACACACACACACACACACACACACACACACACACAC